GGATCAGAAAAAAAGAATCGAAATTATCGCCTGAAGAAGATTCGCAGTATGCAGTCTAAAAGTCGCCGGCGATTCAAAACAGAAGTGACCACATAGTGAGACAAACAGTTGCACTTCATATTCAAGCAAACTAAGTATAACTGATACATAAATCCCACTAATTAGAGTATGGAAAAAACAGCTGGTAATTTTTGGTGAAGTAAAACTGATTAAAAAGATCTTCTTTTGAAACTCTCTTTGTCTAGCTCGTTACAGCATAACGACGAAGGAGATTTGAAAAAAACATTTTGAAAGCAGCCGTCGTTTTTACGTTGTCGTTTTTTCATTCCTTCGTTGTAAAATTTTGTAAATGCGATTCAACCCATTTTTATTGTGGACTTCTTTTCAAAACCAGCGTTCGCACAAAGGTGGGAACTGTAGAAAAGTTGGTGCAAGGCATGGTAACCGAAGTCTGAATTTTTTGCGTTCATTAACAAGCACTTGATTGTTGAGGGAAATATTAGTCAGCTGTCATGTACATGTTGTAACATTGAGGAAGCTGTCTTCAAACTAATCGGTAAAATTGCTGTTATTGCTACGCACCTTTTTGCCTTTACAAGTGTGTTCACGTTCATCTAGCACGGTTACATTTTAAGTGTGTGGAAAAGAAAAAGGTGTGGAAATATGTGTGCACACTGTGAGACCCTCGCAATTCCTATTTACTTGAAACTTTTATTGTATATTAAGATTGAATGAACATTGGCATTAGCCGCCTCTAAACACGTTTGAGAGGCCGCATGTAAGTTTACGAACCTCCGTGAAAGAGCTGCTTTATATTTCTCTAGAGGGCCTTCTTGTCGGATACGCACAACAGGAAGCAGGTGTCAACGGCTTTTCTTTGTGGCAAGTTTGTTGAACAGTTCACAAATTGTTCGAAAAATTCTCAGGAATTGTCATGTTTTCAGACACGTGCACGCTCGTGTAACGAGATCGTTGTCTTCCGTGCAACAAGATTTTCGGGAGCTACCTTAAACAGACTCTGCAAATAATTTTCCCCTCATGTGAGGCAATCAGTCATAAAAGTTAAGTGATAGGTGCAAAATATTTGAAATTTTGCAATACAGAGTGGTCTGTATTCGATAATTAAGTAAAAAATTAGGATACAAGGACAACGCTTTAAAGCCTTGCCGAAAAGGATGTACAGAAGAACCTACCTAAGTCGAACTCACGAGGAAAACAAAAGATGGTTCGAGTTAGCGGGGCGCGAGTTAACTGATAGTGAATGACGGACAAAATGCCGAGGGCCGAGCGAAATGGGATCTTGTTTGAGTTACTGGGGGGTTTGAGTTAGCTGTGTTCGAGTTAGCGTGGTTCTCCTATTGTTTTCACAATTAATTTTTAGCAGTCATCATCTGTCAACAATAATCATTTTATTTTGAAAATCCAGGTTGTTAGCAGGGCTGTTGGTCTCCTCGTGAGTCAAGGAAAAGTGATAAAGTTGATGTCAAAATCATGTCCACTACATTTGCTGCTCTGTGGAAGATATTGTTCGTTTCACACGTCTTTGCGCAAGGTTAGATTTAATCTAGAAGAAAATATTGTGCGAACATTCAGTAAAATTCCACTAGCTATGGTTCAGAATGTGTCTTAAGTACCTCGAACGAAGAAAAAAATAGAAAGTTACAATCAGCAACACAAAAGCGACGTTACCCTTCGGAATTATTAGTGTGATTAGCGATACGCGAGTTTATATGAACTATATGAAGAGTAAAAACAGGTGGTGCATCGGTACTTTAGAACGAGGGTTTTCAAATTTTCTGCTTTTGACTGCAAGTTTCAGAATTCTTCCTGCTCGAATGCGCGAAAAATAGTGCTTTTTTTTTTGCAGTATTTCTGTGAAAATTGTGATCAAATGAAAGTGAAACCCTGTTTTCGTACAATCTTAGCTGATTTAGACTCTCCTCGTTGAATATCTCTAATTAACGACTTTTTATAGCTGCTCTTATCTTAGAAGAGGCCTTATGCTCAACCCTTTCAATAAGAGTCAAATTTTTTGCCTTTGGCAATCAAGAATTACGTAGTGGTCTTCGGCACCTAAAAATTTTTGAAGTATCAAGTCTTGCATGAATACTCTGTAATCAACTCTCATATCAGGTTGAAAGGCTTTTAAGGAAAGCCTTTTTTAAAATTATCTTGTTTTTTAAAGGGAAGTCGTCAGTTTGCACATAAATCGCTTAAGAATTCCACTGTAAACATCTTGACTTGTTAACATTGCACAATGACAGCTCTTCGGTCCAAGTTTAATTAACGTTTTCTTTGACACCACCTGTTTATATTTTCAAGTGAAAAAAATTCCTTATTGCAGGGCAAAGGACCTTTCTTCGCGAAAACTTTTCCTACGAAACAGTTGACGGCAACAAATTTCTTTCAAGCGAACCAGAATTCCATGACAGTTGCCCAAAACATTCAACGATTCAATTGTTTTTATTTAGAACATTTAATAATTCCTATTCATTATGATGGATAACCTATTCAAAGAGAAATACCTCAATTCACCATTAGCCTGCTTAGCATAAAAATATTTACACCTGGTTAACACAGAATCTGCTGAAGATAGGGAAACTGAATTATAAAGAAAAGCAGGCTAGAGTAACGATTTGCCCTTACATGCGTATCACCCGAACGCAGCTAGAGCCCTGTAGCATATACAGCTGCGTTACATTGTTTCATGTTGGTTTTTGTTAGATTACATCATAATCAGCTTGTGTTCCGTTTAGCATTCTTCTTGTTTTTTTTATTATCAGAAACGTGCAGAATTTTGGAGTTTGTTCAACCCGAGGAAGACAATTACCTCGAAAATCACGTCATTAAGTCCTTAATGGTTGATAACAAAGATCAGTGTAAAGTGAGGTGTTACGCAGAGAACTTCTGTTCATCCTTCAATCTTGGAATTTCAGAGACCAGGGGCAAATTAAAATGTGAACTCAGTGACTCTGATCACTTTCAACATCCTGAACATCTCATTTGTAAGAAAGGCTTCTCCTATCATCCAACCATGGTAGGTATACTGCAAAGAAAAGGGAAGGCGAAAATATACTCCCCCACCCCCATCCCTCTCCTTATTCTTGACGGTCGCTCACCCGCTTGGTACAAGTTTCTTTCTCTCCCCATCCTTCCGCTGCCATTAGAATAAAAGATGGCGGCCATAATTTACCCTAAGAAATATGATCACGCGCTCGCCAATACTACGCCTACCCTGCAGGCTAGCATGAACCTTCAGTACGACCTGGATAACTGTTGATAAAAAGAAAGTGCATTTTTGTATGGGTCATTTCTAAACTACATTTACCTGGATAAGATGACAAGATAAAGTATAAACTATCGACCGGTAGGAGTTGAAGAAAAGTTCATCCAGCCAACTTAAAACTTTAAGGAAAATTTCAAATTTCTGAAAATATTATTGTCCACATAATTTCTTCGTGATATGGTTATTTATTTTTTTTAGAGGGCACGGTAACGAATCCTGCAATCTGATTGGTTCTTTACCCGGTCAGTATTTTCCTATCTCTGCCCACAAGCAACGGTAACGCTTTCGTGAGTCGCCGAGTACATCCCTTCATTCGTTGCTATTTTTCATAAATATATTTCGTTTTACCGGCTGGGCAGTATTTTTAAGCAAACACATCGGTTACTACCTCAAGCCGACTTATGAATCCTCTCCACTTTTCTCTCTCTCAAATCACTTTGGTTGACGAAGTAATATTGGTTTCAGAATGAATTTGTATACGCAATAGTGTCATTACGTTGGTTGACAAGCGGCCTAAAAACCGTCTGCAATTGATTTTAATCATTCACAAAAAGTACCCAGAGAGTTAAAACGTGAGGTATTTGGTTACAGGTAAACTGAACAATGGAACTTTCATTCATTTAATATCTGAATTATCTCAAACAATTTGTTCGTAGTGAAAGAGCGAGCGAAGTTTTAATTTCAGTTCGACAATAAATATACGCTCTTGGTGAGTCTTTCCAAGTCCATTCAATTTGGACATTTGGACCATAAATTGCACAACAGAAACTGAAGGAATTTATTGAGAAAAGGCCGCATTAAATCCCCTTGTGTCTCGTTGGAGTGTGCCGTTCGAATTTGTGGAGGAAAGACCAGATTTACACACGCCGTTGCAGCAAACAAATGAGCAAACTCTCACACCTTCAAAATAAAAAATTTGAATTTACTCACAATTACTTTCCTGGCCGTTTACTA